CCCTTGACAACTATGATGTTTCATTACATATTTTCACATTATGTCTACAAGAAACTCTGGAACCATAACTGTTAACATTTTACCAGTTACATATAATGTTATTTAGCAGGTGAAATCAAAGAAAACTGTGTGTGTGAAAGCAAGTTAAGCAGGCTTCCAGGGCAGATTCGAATTTGGAGGGATATTCTAAGTGTCAAAGTATGGTGTCTTTTTAGTCATGCATCAACTGCAACGAAATTCCCGTTAAAATGTGCCTTTAGTGAACATTTCTTAAAGCAAACCGAATTCTGAGTAGTACAATACTTGATAAAGTTAATACGAGCATTTCTGGAAACAATCAATAAATTTTTAATAGCCGTTTTGTAAATTTAGCCACATCACTTCTAAATTCAAGGCATTGTAGATAATTTGGAGATGCAGCTTAAAACATCACTCTACTCAAAATCCTGGTATGATTCAGATGTGAGAGCAAGATGGTCTATAAAATCAGGAATCAAGCAGAAGAAATCCCGTATCAGAAGTGGACATGGGATCCTTATTTGAAGCTAAAAGGCCAATGTGACAGATCAAGTGTGGGTGGAAATAGATTCCCTTTCAACAAGTGACTGTGTATTGTTTCAAAAAATTCCACATTAATCCAGGTGCTGCCCTTAATAGCCGTGACTTTGGACAATTTACATAACCCCTTTTCCCATGGAAAGTAACAAAATAAGCAACTCAGAACCCACTGTGGATGAAAGGTCATAGTAAGCACTAACCCTATGCAACTTTTCCTTCCTTTTACTGTGTGTTAGGTGGTTCCAAACCACAGAATGTTTCATTTCTCTAATGTTTTCATTGCAATTGCATTTCTCCCACAGATAAAAATCCTGATGAAGACATTTTCCCCAAGCCCACGATTTTTCTTCCTTCAGCTGATGAAGTAAAACTCCATAATACTGGAACATATCTTTGTCTTCTTGAGGACTTTTTCCCTGACGTTATCACGATAGATTGGAAAGAAAAGAATGGCAAAACAATTCTGAAATCCCAGCAGGGTGACACCATGAAGACTAAGGACACATACATGAAATACACGTGGCTGACTGTGCCTAAAAAGTCAATGGATAAAGAACACAAATGTACCGTCAAACACGAGAATAATAAAGGAGGGGTTAATCGAGAGATACTGTTTCCTTCAATAAACAAAGGTATGTGCATATACACATGATGATAACCTTTCAGAACCCTTTGTTTCAAAGGGAATACCACACCTTGTCTATCAAAAATTAATGGGAAACAAGCAAATAGAAATCTTTCTTTAACGTAGTTACTTTTAACGGTCACATAAATGTCCTGTTACTTCCCCATAGAATTAAAGTAGAAACATACAAAGAAAGAGCACAAGAACAATTCACTTAGCCTTTATCGCCTCAGTTTCATCATCCAAAATATGAAGGTCACAATGATGTTTTTTAGCGTCACTGTATGGATTGAATGAAATAATACGGAGGAAGCACCTAGCAGCCTCACACACAATAAATGCTCAAAAAGAGAGTCCACTTTCTATGATCTTACTTGATAAGGAAATAAGAACAATCGCATGTCTTTCGGGAATGTTCTACTCAATAGTCAAACTCCCTCTCACCTCAATCTGGTCTACTCAAAGTATCACCTTTAAACAGTTACAGGTGACAAAATGCTGCTCCTTTGATGGTGCTGGATTGCAGCTCAAGTAAAAATGGTGATTTGGCTGCCGAGTTTTTAGTATGGTCTTGGGTGTTCCAGATTTGAATTTTATGTAAGACTGTAAGGTGAAATTTGGTAACTGGAGAGGGGTGAGGTTACATGTACAAACATTCTCCCATTGTCCACAATGGATGTATTTCTACCCCTGGGAAATGCTGCCCAGCAAACACTTCCTGCCGTCCGAGCGTGTGCCAGGCCTGGGAGGGAGGCGGGCCGGACCACTGTCCCCAGGAGGATCACTACAGTAGGGCGAATACACTTTGCCTAATCAGCCAGGGTCCCTGGTGATTCAGACATGGTGTCCTGAAAGAGCCTCACTGGTGCCGAGGCTGGTCATATGTGACAATGGGGGCAGAGCTGAATGTGCCCTGGCCTGGCTGTGAGCCAGGAACTCGCTAGACTCAGAAGTCAAGTCCTGAACATTAATATAAAATGCCCCCAGAGGGCCCATAA